AGAATAAATAATAGTAGTACGTACTAAAAGTAAGTAGTATAATTTTTTTTTGTCATGGGTGACATTTTCATAGTTTTCGAGGGTGTTGAAACCGATAGGGTTGTCGAAATGTAAATTCAAGATGGCGGCCGCAATAGGTATCAATTTTTTCATCATGGGTGTCATTTTCATGGTTTTCGAGGGTGCTGAGGCCGATAGTGCTCTCGAAATGTAAATCCAAGGTGGCGGCTGCAATAGGTATAAATTTTTTCATCATGGGTGTCATTTTCATGGTTTTCGAGGGTGGTGAAGCCGATAGTGCTGTCGAAATGTAAATCAAAGATGGCGGCTGAATTAGGTACCAATTTTCTCATCATGAGTGTCATTTTCATACTTTTCGAGGGTGTTGAAGCCGATAGTGCTGTCGAAATGTAAATCCAAGAGGCGGCTGCAATAGATATCAATTTTTTCACCTTGGGTGTCATTTTCATGGTTTTCGAGAGTGTTGAAGCCGATAGTGCTGTCGAAATATAAATCCAAGATGGCGGCTGCAATAGGTATAAATTTTTTCATCTTGGGTGTCATTTTCATGGTTTTCGAGGGTGTTGAAGCCGTAGTGCTGTCGAAATGTAAATCCAAGATGGCGGCTGAAATAGGTATCAATTTTTTCATCATCGGTGTCATTTTCATGGTTTTCGAGGGTGTTGAAGCCGATAGTGCTGTCGAAATGTAAATCCAAGGTGGCGGCTGCAATGGGTATCAGTTTTTAATCATGGGTGTTATTTTCATGGATTTCGAGGGTGTTGAAGCCGATAGTGCTGTCGAAATGTAAATCCAAGAGGCGGCTGCAATAGATATCAATTTTTGCATCTTGGGTTTCATTTTCATGGTTTTCGAGAGTTTCGAAGCCGATAGTGCTGTCGAAATGTAAATCCCAGATGGTGGCTGCAATAGGGTATCAATTTTTTCGTCATGGGTGTCATTCTCATGGTTTTCGAGGGTGTTGAAGCCGATAGTGTTGTCAAAATGTAAATCCAAGATGGCGGCTGCAATAGATATCAATTTTTTCATCATGGGTGTCATTTTTATGGTTTTCGAGTGAGTTGTAGCCGATAGTGCTGTCGAAATGTAAATCCAAGATTGCGGCTGAAGTAGGTACCAATTTTTTCTTCTTGGGTGTCATTTTGATGGTTTTCGAGGGTGTTGAAGCCGATAGTGCTGTCGAACTGTAAATCCAAGATGGCGGCTGCAATAGATATCAATTTTTTCATCATGGGTGTCATTTTCATGGTTTTCGAGAGAGTTGAAGCCGATAGGGTTGTCGAAATCTAAATCCAAGGTCGCGGCTGCAATGGGTATCAATGTTTTCATCATGGGTGTCATTTCCATGGGTTTCGAGAGTGTTGAAGCCGATAATGCTGTCAAAATGTAAATCCAAGATGGCGGCTGAACAAAATACCAATTTTTTCATAATGGGTGTCATTTTCATGGTTTTCGAGGGTGTTGAAGCCGAATGTGCTGTCGAAATGTAAATCCAAGATGGCGGCTGCAATAGATACAATTTTTTTCATTTTGGGTGTCATTTTCATGGTTTTCGAGGGTGCTGATTCCAATAGTGCTGTCGAAATGTAAATTCAAGGTGGCAGCTGCAATAGATATCAAGTTTTTCATCTTAGGTGTCATTTTAATGGTTTTCGAGGGTGTTGAAGCCGATAGTGCTGTCGAAATGTAAATCCAAGATGGCGGCTGCAACAGGGTATCAATTTTTTCATCATGGCTGTCATTTTGATGGTTTTCGAGGGTGTTGAAGCCGATAGTGCTGTCAAAATGTATTTAAACTACTTTAAAAATTCCGTATAATCATGTTATACGTAATTTTTTTAAAGCGCTTAAATAAATATCTTAAGCGCATTAAAAAAATTTGCCCAATTGGATATACCAATATATTTCATATTTTTGTATAATTGACGGTGTAAGAAAGAATATCCACTGCCCCATGTCTATATCACAGTGAACGGATGAGTTATACGAATATCTATCCTGGTAAATCCCTCCGTCGTTAACTTGTGTTCGGTATATTATATCATATAGGATTTTCCGCCGTCACGCATTCGTCACAGCTATTTTCCTTATTTAGGAGAGTACAAACGAGGTTGGTACGTAAAAGTTCTTATTCCTTTTTGTTATAATATACAGTTTCTGTACATTACGACAAAGGCGAAGTTCGATTAAACATAATTTAAAAATGAACAATTTTGCTTAGCACTCATTGGATTCTTAGTTTTATGGCAGATTTTATTCAATTTAAAATCATTCAGTAACTGTGTGGAAAGTTTTCTAAGCACTACAATTGTTTATAACGGAAGAGCGAATGTTAAACAATGGTTGCTATTTGTAACAAATTAAAAGTCTACGCAAGCGGAGCATTTAATAGCGGGTACTTCGTAACTGCTTCTGTGTCAAAATTTGATAACTAAAGCTTTTACGTTGTATTTTGAATTGATTGGATTTGTTTGTTCTACTCAAAGTTATGTAAGCAAAGGTTTGATAAGAAAAAAAACCTCAGACAACTCAACAGTTATACATTACTTTTAAGCACCATTCCAAAAATAGATAAATGCATTAAATTTATTTAATAAATTTTCAAAGAAAAGCTTTTCAACTAAAATCTCATATTTATAATTTATTTAAATGTTAGATTGTTCTTTAATGTTTTCTGTAGATCACATTCTCTACTATCGAGATATAATATTTAAATTGTAATTAAATTACTTTTACAGTTCGTGAACAGCCTGGGGGCGGCGGTGCATACTCTCTATATTACGCTTATAGATTAAATTTAATTATGGCACAAGTACTACTTCAAAAAAATACTGGTTAAATGAAAACAATCATAATATCATAATGTTGGTTAGGCAGTGTAATGTCAATGGATGTCGTGAGGGGAGACAGAGGGAAACTAAAACAGTAGATGGGAAACAGGATTTCCCTGATAACAGCTCAAATTAACAAAAAAACTGCGGTTGCCAACCCGCCTCCGTGGCAACTATGGCTAATATTTTTAACACTGTGGAAAACTAAGCTGCGATAAAGATATTTTAGTAAATCGACGCACATCGACATCAAGGCACAAGGCACAAACTATGTAATCTGATCTTGCCTAATATAATTAATTAATAGTGGAAATTGCGTCACGATTAGAACAATTCTAATCTGAGGTAAGCTAAGATGCTATTACAGACATGAAGACAATCAAAACTGAACCATATCTGAAAACTAAAGTCGTATTTTTAATTAAACGAAGCTGCCTGACGTTTACTGGGTTGTCAGGTTTTCATTAATCAAAAATAGTGTTGTGACTAAATGACTGAAAGGAAAAAAAAATGACTGACTGATAAAGAAAACGACTGAATGGTATTTTTTTTAACTGAAGGTTTTAAAAATTACGTCAAGTCTTATTTAAGGTACATCCATGTTGTCTTCACGCACCATCCCTGACGGGGTAGCCAGAGAGAACAGATCGCCAAGTGTCACGATTCTTACATACCTCTTTCGCTTCTTTCAGATTCATTATCTTCTTCATATATACACGTCTAGGTATCCGAGTACTCTTGACCCTACCCTCTTCGAGCAATTTGCTCACATGATCTTCGAAAGTTAGTCTCGGTCTACCTCGACACCTTTTAATATTAACTTTCGCGCTATATATTTTCTTCACCATTCGGTCTTCACTCATTCGCTCAACGTGCCCAAACCACCGAAGCACGCCCTTATCAATTTTTGTGATAAGGTCATCTTTCAAACCTGCCATATTGCGAATCTCTTCGTTTCGCTTTCGGTCGGCCATGGTAACGCCGCACATTTTACGAAGAGATCGCATCTCCACTGCATTCAACTTGCTTTTATGCTTCTTCTGGCATACCCAGGTTTCGCTGCCATATAACAAAGTCGGTACCAACACTGCGTTATGTATTGCAAGGCGTGCACTCTTCACTACGCCTTGCCTTTTGACTAACGCAGTCAGGGCACCATTGACTTTGTTCCTGGCAGCGACTCGCCTGTCCACATCTAAATCACATCTTCCATCCCGGCTAAAAGCACTCCCCAAGTATACAATTTCATTTACTTGTTCTAGACATTCCTGATTTACCCATATTTCACACTTTGTTCTCTCTTCGTCCCTTTCAATGTTGTCAGTTCATCAGGGGAAAATTATCCATAATGTATGTCGTCATGGGGATTTCATAAGAAAAAACTGTGCTTAAGTATTGCATTTTTTTTATTCATCGTCATCAGATATAATATCATCACTGTCACTGTCAGTAACATTTATTATAAACTTGTTTGAGACACTATCGATCATGTGGTCGAGATTAAACATTTTGTCTTCTTCTTTTATTATGTGAGCCACGCAGCTACTCCACTTTTCGGCAGTCACTTCATTTAGTCCTTCTGCGAAAAGTTTTTTTTATATCTTTCATTTTGAAGGTCTTGTTGTTTCTTGCAACATACTCTTTGACCTGCGCCCAAATCAGCTCATTGGGATTGAGCTCACATTGGTAAGGGGGCAAACGTAAAACAGTGACTCCACGCTCCGCTGCCATCTCGTCCACTAAAACTTTTTTAATTACAACTGTGGTTTCTTCATTAACATACCGCCCACCAAGGACATTTAGTGACGGAATGGCCTTTTAAATTGTACTTAAGTCTAAAATTTGAACTTAAATCTAAAATTTGCACTTAAATTTAAAATTTGAACTTAAATCTAAAATTTGCACTTAATACTTTATAACACACTTCTATAATTTAATCTCATAAAGTATGACCTAAAAACTTACAAATAAAAATAAAGACTTCAACAGCTTAAAATAACCAAAAATAAAATTTTGAAAAGTAACATTGTAAAATTAAACCTATAAATGTAATTAATGTTGTAGATATAGCTACATTTGATCGTAAAAGTAAAAGAACATTTGATACAATAATATTTTTACATAAATTTGACATAAAAATTGAACAATTCATGGATCCGAGATAGGCAGAATACATAATTTTGATGTTGGCCTCTTAATTACGGATGTTTTCGTACGCAATGTGACTACACGGGTAACGTTATCATCACCGGGGTGTTTCTCTATAACTCTACCCAATAACCAACGACTTGGAGGCAAATCATCTTCTTTAATTAAAACAACGTCACCAACATTAGGTTCCGGAACTTGTGACGCCCATTTGTACCTATTCATGAGCTTTGACAGATATTCCTGTGACCATCGTTTCCAAAAAGACTGCAGCATCCTTTGCACAAATTGCCACCTAGTTAAATAGCTTACGTTTGAACTTTTGTAATTTTTATCTGGTACATTAATTATCGGTTCTCCTATTAAAAAATGTCCAGGAGTTAAAGGGAGGGGCTCACCAGGATCAGTAAAGTTAATAACGCTTATCGGCCGCGAATTCAGACAGGCTTCCACTTGATTGAGGAATGTAGTCATTTCCTCGTACGTTAGGGTAGAGTCGCCAATAACCCTTTTAAGGTGAAATTTGGTGGATTTTACACCCGCTTCCCAAAGACCACCGAAATTGGGAGCCTGAGGCGGAATAAAATGCCACTCGGTGTTGTTTGCTTCCAGATATTCTGCTATGGCTGGCTGAATAGATGCCAACTGTTGCAGTTCTCTGGAGGCGCCTACAAAGTTGGAGCCGTTGTCGCTCCACAATTTAGCACAGTGACCTCGTCGCGACACAAAACGTCGAAAAGCGGCTAAAAATGCCTGTGTGCTCATGTCACTGACGACCTCTAGGTGAATAGCACGAGTGGACATGCAAACGAAAAGGCATATGTAGCCCTTATAAGAACGATGCCCACGTCCTTTAGTGGTTCTTATACTTATGGGTCCAGCATAATCCACTCCACTATATAAAAATGGTCTTGCTGGTGTACATCGAACCGATGGGAGCGCACCCATCAGTTGGTTTCTAACACTAGCTCTCTGTTTCACACAAGTTACACACTTGCGAACATATTGTTGAACTAGAGATCTAGCACCTATTACCCAATAGGCTGACCTTAAATAGTTTGCCATTAACTGAGGACCACCATGCAATGTCTTCTCATGCGCGTCTGCAACTATAAGAAGAGTCAAATGGCATGAATGTGGTAGAACTATCGGATGTTTTACTTGCTCATCTAGTTCAGACTTTTCAAGTCGTCCACGAATTCGCATGATACCATTCTTGTCGAGAAAAGGACAAAGTGATTTCAATTTACTTGATTTTATATTCAAATACCCTTTTTCCTTTAATTGTTCATATTCTGTTGTGAATGAATCTATTTGTGATTTCCTTATACAAGTTTGTAATGCTGCTTCTATTTCGTGATCTTTCAAATATTTACTATTGTGTTTTTCCTTTTTTAAAACTCTTCGACAATACGCAATAACTTTAACTAATTTTCTTAGACTGGAATAATTTTCGAAAACTACGTGCTCTGGAACTACAGCTGTGTGCGCCTTTATAGTTTGTTCTAAATCTGTCTTTAGATTCTTTGGCCTCTTGTACTCAATTAATTTATTTTTCAAAAATGATGGTCCTGAAAACCATAACTCATTACCGACTAATGAACTGGGTAGTATTCCTCTTGATGCGCAGTCAGCTGGGTTCTCTTTGGTCGGCACATGAAACCATTGAGATGAATTCAAAGCGCCCAAAATTTCTGAAGTCCTGTTGGCAACAAACGTTTTCCACCTGCTAGGGTGACTATTAAGCCACTATAGCACTACTGTAGAATCAGTCCATGCAAAGATCCTTTCCTTTGAAATATTTAAAATCTCTGCTGTCTCTATCAATAACTTTGATACAAGTACAGCACCACATAGCTCCAATCGAGGAATACTAATTTGTTTGATGGGAGCTACTCTCGTTTTAGCCACTAACAACGACAGATGAATTCTGCCTGAGACATCAATTGTTCTTAAGTAAACGACAGCTGAGTACGCTGCTTTAGAGGCGTCACTAAAACCGTGCAATTCAAGGTCATCAGATGAACTAGTACCAAGCCAACGAGGTACCTGAACTTTGGTTAGTAATGACAACTCTTCGCGGTAAGTACTCCACTCTGTTATTACTTCGGTAGTTAATTCCTCATCCCAACATACACCTAAGAGCCATAATTTTTGTATGAACATCTTTGCTAATACGACACTAGGAGCTAACCATCCCAATGGGTCGAACAAACGAGCTATATCTGATATTATTAGTCTTTTTGTTACAGGTGCTGTCGTCAGCGGTGGAAGATTTACCGAGTACTGAAAGCAATCTTCGTGGCGGTTCCAGGTAAGTCCCAAAATTTTTATTGTACTATCTAGCTTAATTACTATTTCCTTATTATCTATTTCCTTTTCCTTAACTCCTATGTCCTCTTTGTCCTTATTTTCAGTGTTCTCATTTTTAATTTTTATTTGACCTGTTTGCTGTACTATTTCATTTGTATATATTGAACTTATTCTATCTAATAGTTGCCGATTGTTACTGTTCCACTTCTGCAATGCGAATCCTCCCTTTCCTAATAATGCTACCATCTGTTTACAGATTTCAACGCCCTCTTCGACGCTATTACTTCCCATCATTAAATCGTCCATATAAAAAGAGTTTAAAACTCTATCTGCTGCAAGCGGGTACTTATCTCCTTCGTCGTACGCAACCTGATGGAGTGACCTAACTGCCTGATATGGTGCAGAAGCTGTTCCAAAGGTCACCGTTACCAACTCATAATCCCTAAGTGGCTTTTCAGGGCTTTCTCGCCAAAGTATCCTCTGGAAGACAGCATCTTCATCCGCTATTCTGACTTGGCGGTACATTTTGATTATATCCGCCACAATACCAATAGCGTGTACTCTCCATCTAAGAATGGTGTGTCTTAAGTCTGCTTGCAGCGTTGGTCCAACCATTAAAGTGTCATTGAGTGAAACTCCTTTTTATTTTTCTCAGAGGCGTTGAAAACTACACGTACCTTCGTGGTGGTCTTATCGTTTCTAATCACCGCGTGGTGTGGTAAGTAAACTGCTTCATCTTTCTTATTATCCTCTTCCTTTACAGGTCTCATGTGTCCTAATTGTAAGTATTCATTAATTACCTCTGTATATTTTTCCTTTAAATATGTGTCCTTATTTAATCTTTTTTCTAACGATTTGAATCTTGTTTCAGCTATGTCACGGGAACTTCCGGCCTTGCATGCAGGATCTTCGTCTCGAAATGGTAAACGTACAATGTATCTGCCTGTATCATCCCTCTTAGTAGTTTTCATATAAAATTCTTCACATTTTTGTTCTTCTGGGTTAAGTAATTTCCTTGTACTAACTTGTTCTTCTATCTTCCAGAATTTCTTTAGAATATTGTCTTCATTGAACTGTGTACAGTGCACACTTAAATTTCTTGTGTGGTGTTTTGAACTCTCATTGCTTGAACTGACTACACCGGAAAGGATCCACCCTAAGGTGGTGTTCTGCGCTATTAGAGTACCAGACGGACTCTTTACTACACCTTCCTTCATAATGCAACAGTAAGCATCTGCACCCAAAAGAATGTCTATTTTATTAGGTGTTTTGAAATAAGGATCTGCCAAACAAAGACCGTTGATATCAATCCAATCCAATGAACTGGTATTCACACTTCTCTCAGGTAAGTATGATGTAATCTTACTCAAGACGTAAGCATTTATTTGAAGTTGAAAATCAAGATCAACAGTGGATTTAATAATTAAATTTACTATATAATTAGCAATGGTTGACCTATTATCTCCTAAACCTGAAACGTGACCTCGGACTGGAATTTTCTTAAGCCTAAGAAATTGGACAGTGGCCTCTGTTATAAAACATGCTTGTGATACTTGATCAAGTAGGGCTCGAATTGTTTGAAATTCACCTATCTTGGACTCTGCCTTTATTAATGCAGTGGCTAATAAAACCTGTCTGGGTTTTAAGACTTTGCCCGTAGATAAGCATGTAACTATCTGATTGTCACTATTTGAAGAACTGGCGTTGTCGATAGTGGACTTTACTGTAGAATCTTGGCCTTTATTATCAGCGTTAGGTTCTCTATTAGGGTGCAGCAAGGAATGGTGGCGCTTTTTGCAAACTCTACAGACATTCTGCTTTTTACAGTCATAAACTGTATGATTTCCGCCTAAACAATTAAAACATATTTTATTTTTTGCTACGAACTCTCGTCTGTTTTCTATGGACTGTTTTGCAAATTGCTTACAAAAACAGAGCTTGTGAAGTTCTGAGCAAAATTCGCAACGAATATTCGACGACTTTGTGGCCAGCATTGCTTTCGAACTAAGAACGTGAGAACTATTATTGATCTGGTGAGCCACAGCCTTCCTCGGCTCTATACATTCTAAAGCGCGAAAACGACTTTCAATAAATATCCGAAACTGCTCAAAGGTGGGCAACTCGTTGCTGGAGTCATTGGAAACACTTAACTCCCACTGCTTTCGTGTTTCATTATCTAATTTGAAGGTCACTATATGGATAACAATAACGTCCCATGTACTTACATCGATTTTCAAATTTTTCAATGCATTTAAACAGTCGCTCGTGGTATCTAGCAGCTCCTTTAATGAGTTAGCCGATTCCACATGTAAGCGTTTCTGGCCGAACAATCTTTTTAAAATACAACTGGTTAAATACCTTTTATTTGCATAACGCTTTTCTAACTGAGACCAACATTCGCGGTAATTGGCATCTGTGATTGGTGTGTGCCTAATCAACTGTTCGGCTTCACCAGTGAGGTGGCTTTTAAGCTTTCATTATCTAAAGATGCATTATTGTGTACAAGTGAAATAAAAAGATCGTGAAAAGATGTCCATTCACTGTACTTGCCAGAAAAGGTAGGAATTGTTATCTTGGGCAACTTTACAAATGAATTAGATTGCTTAGAAGAATTATTACTACATCCACTGTCTTGTGGTAGCGGTTCTCTTACACTATTTAACGTTGATTTCATTAAACATTTACATGATATGTAAGTATCTTCGGTTGTGTCATATATATCGACAACCTTTTGACCTATGTCTTCTAACTTAAACCGACCATAAAGTTGAGATTTAGTATTTTTAAACGAAGACCAATCATTTTCTAATAATTCAAGCCTTGTTTGTATATATTCTACTGTAAGTCTATCCTTTGGACACTTTTTAAAATTAGTAAAGGCTTTTTGAATTACTTGTTGAAGGTCTTTTAATATATTAATTTGTCCTTCCATCGTAAACAACAAACAAAATGATGGTAAAAGATAGTTATAGAATTGATTAATTAATATCAAAAAAAAGTATAATTTAATTATTTATGTCAAGATAAATTTATCCATCTAAATGTTAACACAATATTAACTTGGTAACAGAACAACCTCAATTGAAATGTATAACTTTACAAGTTTCTTTACTAGACAAAAGTTTGCGATTTTTTCTAAGTCTCAAAAACAACGAAAAATTTTACAAGTGTTTATAAATAAATACACTCTGGTAGAAATCGGACATAGGTTCCCCGTTCCTCCGTTTTTATAAAACTTATTCTAAGTCCTTAATCTAACATGCACAATTTTAAAGTTAAAATCTTCTTAGAAATAAAGTTTAAAATTGCTTGGCAAATAATGTCTACAGTACTTGTCACCAATCAAGTTATATTAAATGTCTCTGCTACTATGGTATTTAATTAAATTGTACTCACGTTTGCACTTCACTCACACAAACCCAGGTTGAACTAGTAGTGTACTCGTGGCGCCCTCCTTCGGCGTCACTTTGAACTTCAACTCCCGGCTGCTATCGACGAACTCGAAGATTGAATTGGCGATGTACTGCTGATGGCGCCCTCTGTGGCGTCACGTTGAACTAACACTCCCAATGCAGCTGAGTATGGCCCTCTTGCTGGGCCAAGCTGTTGCTGCCTCTGCGAGGTGCCCGGTACTCTTGCCGCAGCGATCCACTGCGAGTACTACGGTGTGCGGCCCAAAGCTGGCACCGCAAACTAACAAAAAATTCAGACTATTCCGGGTCTGATATCCGGGGTCGATGGACCAATGTTTACTAGCAAGCTAGTTGTACTGTTTGTCCTATTGATACACTTGAAGAGTTGATAATATATAAATCAAACTACAACAATGTATGATCTGAGCTGGTTTTATTATTATATACAATAATTTAAATGGCCTTATTACACACTGAGTA